AATCCTTAAAAGATTTTAGGATTACCTCTTTAGAGGGGGGAATGTTGGAGGAGGAGGAGCGGGCATGGATTTATGGATTTGATCAAAATACCTTCTATAAACATGTATGAAATTCTCAGTAAAGTTTTTGTAAATGTTTAAAAAAAAAAACAAAACAAAAAAGAAACTGATCTCTGCAGGGGGAGGCATAAGCAAAGGGACCTCTATGAGGTCGAGGCCAGCTTGGTATATACAGTGAGTTTCAGGATAGCCAGGGCTACATAGTGAGAGAGAGAGAGAGAGAGAGAGAGAGAGAGACAGAGACAGAGAGACACAGTGAGAGATCAAGACAGACACACACACAGAGAGAGAGAGAGAGAGACAGAGACAGAGACAGAGAGAGAGACAGAGAGACACAGTGAGAGATCAAGACAGACACACACAGAGAGAGAGAGAGAGAGACAGAGAGACAGAGAGACAGAGAGAGAGAGAGAGATTGGTCTCCATCTTGTTCCCTATGTACAGTCCTGGGGAGATCCTGGCCAAGCCTATGGAGTCAGAATTCCCAAGGCAGAAAAGTGTCACATAGCAGCAGGGAGACCTCATACTTTTCCATGTAAAGAATGGGGGATGTTCGAACTTACAGGCAGAAATGGGGGAATACAAAATATTGGTTAAAAAAAAATACATAATAAAATGTGCAAGATAAAAAGACCAGCTACCAAATCCTAAGGACTTGTTGAGTCTAGTAGAAGAGATGAGGTGCCTTTCTCCTCAATAGCTGTACATAGAAATGAGCTCCTTGGAATCTGGATCTTTCCAAAGGACTCAGCAAATTCGAGGTTCCTAGCATATAAAGCTAATTTGCCTTGACAGGCATTAATGTTTAACTTTCATAAGATGAGGGTTCAGATCTGTGGGTGTCTTTAACTAATGGGTTAAAGTCAAAATTAGGTTTATAGGCTTCCAGACAAGAGTTTAGCTGTGTCCATCTGGAGAGTTCCATACTTCATTCTCTCAAATTAACTCTCCAGATGGATACCACTGTGACAGGACAGTACATATGCTTATCTCCCTTTAGCATCATCTCCATGCTCAAATTTACAAAAGAAAACAAAGGTACATGATTACCAGGATTAAGCAAAGACACAGTAACCCGAAATTAACTAAATGGGTCTTTAAAAAAGGATGATTGACAAACTTTATTCTGACAAGAAAATGACCACCGAGTTTCCCTCTGTGTAAGTCAGGCTGCCAGGCTTTGGGGAGACCAGGAGTGTCACTGTTGTTTGTTCTAGTGTTTTTCCATATCATAAGCAGGTTATCTGGGGCACGTGGAATGCCCCAGAGTTCACACACTGCATACTCATTGAGAGCCTTCAGTGAGCAAGGCAATTGTGCCTAGCTCTGGGCATTTCCAAATATCACTGGGTAGAGAGTGCCACAGAGACAAAAAGCTTTTGTATGCCTCTGTGTAATCCGTGAAACTGAGCAGGGGTGCTGCCAGGATTTACAAGGAAGAGTAGCATGAACACAGACCCAATTCCAAACCGCTGAGGATGGAGTCTTTTCCCACAGTCTCACAGACTAAAACTTGCTTCATCCTGAACAGTCAGAGCTCAACCGGATTCTTAAAAAGAAAAGCCTGCCAGACTGCAGTTTGACACACTCTTCTAAGAAATCAAAGTAACTAAGTTAATAAAAATTAGGGGGATTTCTTTTTCTTTTCTTGAAAAGAGGAGTTGTGACCTCAAGATAAGAAAGTGTAAAGTCAAAGTTCTCAGTAGCTCAAATGTAACTTCTCAGTCCTGGCTCGGAGAAGATTCCCCCGAGGGACGGGTGCCTGCTCACTGCACCGCAGTCACCCACGAGCGTCGGCCCGGGATGGGGGTTCAGGGTAGAAAAGGGGGACTCGGAGTCCCAGGCCGCGGCTTACCCATCGCCGAGCAGTTAGCGTCGCGCTGGGGACCGCTGGGGCCCACCTGGAAGACCCAGGTGCCCAGTAGCTCAGGGTAGGTGCAGTTGGCAGGTGTGTCGCAGAGCACCGTGCAGACTCCGGAGAGGAGCAGCAGGAGGGCGCCCAGCACCGGGCGAGGCCGGGGACCCATGGCTACAGGCGGGAGAAACAGGAGCAGGAGCCAGAGCGCGCAGCGGCGCCAAGGAGTCAGGAGACCCTAGTGGCTCGCGTCTGAAAATAGCCAGAAGCCCGGAAACCCGAGAGCAGGGGGAGGGGTTACAGTGCGGGGAGGCCGGGTAGGGGGGGTGCGGTGATGGGTGGGTGGAAATGGGTGGGACGCGGGGCCAGCGGGGTGTGGCTGGGTGGGAAG